CATTCCCTGCGAAAACGCTTTCTACAGGGTGACTTTTTGTTTGAGCACCGAAAGGAGTGTACGTGTTAAAGGGACTGCTTAGGGCGCGGATCGCTCTGGGGCGTGGAGGTTTCTTTCGGTGCTTTAACCAGCGCGGTTCCTAACAGCCTGCATGCGATTGCCACACCTCTTAATGACCGCAGCCGGGAACTGTCAGCATGGCTCCTCCGCTTCCTTGGCAATGACCTTTCTGCTTGGCAGCGCTGGCGTTAAGGCAGGTCTTAATTTCTGCGTGACTTCACCGACCTGCTTTTTTTGAGACCGAGATTGCCGGGACGGGAGGCGGGTAAAGCGAGCACTGGTCCTCTGCCGCGCCCTGGTGGCGGTGCAGCCGGAGCTCTGCCGGGCAGCTGCTCTCAGCCGCCGCGGGCAGGGGCTTTGCGCCCGGTAGGAGCGCAGAGGCCGAGCGGCGCGGAACTCGGCACGGCACCGGTGGCTCCGGGAGCTCGGCCGGCGGCGATTGGCTGATGGGAGAAGACTCAGGCGCTTATTGGGTGATTAGAAAATTTCGAAAAGCCCGCGCTGCGCACGGGACGCGGAAGCGCTGCCCTCGCTGGCTCCGCATTTGCCGGTGATCCCGGATCCACGCGTACCCGGACAGCTTGTCCTCTCAAAATATCTATCCCGCCTTAGAGGTATCCTCCCTTCTAGTCGTCTTGTCCTTGTCTTCCAGTCTACAAGGCTCCTTCCTGTCTTCTCATACAGAATGGAAAATTTTTAAGCTCACGCTATCCTGGGACAGCTATGCAAAAAAAAAAGTAAAGTAAATGAGGTTTTTAATTTTCCCCCTATCCTCATTTTATAGGTTTGGTGTATGTATCTATTAGAAGATATGTGAAGTTATTTATGATGGAACATGCAGTATAATGTACCACATCTCTTATCTCTGCTGAAAAAAGGTGAACAATACTGCTTACATTTATTGGAAAAGTGAGAATTCAAATGCTAACATTTATAAAGTAATAGTTAACACATTTGAATTTGCTTGAAGCTATAAAGTACTCAAGGATTTCAGACAGATCTTTATCCTTTCTAAGCTCTGCAACCATGATTTAACAAGCTTATTTCTAATTCCTTTTACCGTTTCTCAAGCATTTCTACACCTAAAAGACCGAGATACTACTGTGCTAAAGCTCTTTCAGGGAATATGTGGGTGGCTCTTAAAAGAGCCTTTGGGTTAAAACTGACAATCCGAGACGCCCTACTTGGAGCTGGTGTACTTGGTGACAGCCTTGGTGCCCTCGGAGACAGCGTGCTTGGCCAGCTCGCCGGGCAGCAGCAGCCGCACGGCCGGCTGGATCTC